GCTGCCGGCTCAGGCCACCTCTCTGCCCCGCCAGGGATGATCGTCCACGGCATCTCCCGCCTCTGCTCCTCCTCGCTGGAGCCCTTTGGGGAGCTGCAGCAGGAGGTGGAGATCCACCGCACCTACGTCTCCCAGTCCGTCCACCTCTTCATCCTCTACTTCTTCAACGTGGCCGTGCTGGCCACCTACCTCCCGCAGGAGGCCCTGAAACTCATCCCCCTGCTCACAGGGCTCTTCGCCATCTCCCGGTAAGCAGCCCCTCACCCTCCACCCCAGCATCCTCTTTCCCCGCCCCGGGCATTGCAGGTTCCTGGAGGGACCAAGCTGGGTCCATCAGTGCTGGAAAACTCCCTGCCCCAGTTTTTGTCCCCCTTGCCACAGCAGCCACCTGGATCTGGCAAAGCCCCGCTGTCGCTGGCACTCCTGAGCCCTGGGCATTGCGGTGTCACCTCCCAGCGTGCCCTCGCTCAGCCCTGACCTGTCTCCTGTCTCCAGGCTGATCTACTGGCTCTCGTATGCCATCGGGCGCTCCTTCCGTGCCTTCGGCTTCAGCATGACCTTCCTGCCCCTCCTGGCCATGCTGCTCTACAACCTGTACGCAATGTTCATCCTGGAGCCCGAAAACCTCGCCGTGGCGGGCGCGAAGGCTGAGGACCCCTCCAAGGACAGCAGGAACAAGCTTCGATTCTGGGGGTGAGAGGGGCCGCAGGGAGACCGGGGAGCTCACTTGCAGCCCCCAGGGTGCCCTCTCCTCACGCTGGGCTGAGATGTACTAGGACAAGCCTCAAAGGTGGACAGGGACAGGCAGATCCAGCTGGGTCCCTGCTCCCTGCCCGGGGCCAGCAACATCCTGCGGGATGCCAAGGGCCGGGCTGTGAAACCCTCCCTGCTGGGAGTTTCCTGCAGGAGGGTGAATGGGGGCCCCAGAGCAAGTCCCAGCAAGCAGCAGGGCCCAGTTCATGGGAACGGGCAGGTGGAAGGGACCCAAACTTCTTGCTGGAGTTGGCTTTGCCCAATAAAACCCTTCACTAAGTGGCTCCATGATTGAATTTCCCTAGGACTTACCCTCACCACCAGGACTTGCAGCTGCACCCACAGCCCTTGGGATGCCACCATCCAGCCCCAAAATGATATTTCCCAGAGGGCAAAAAGCAGATGTTTCCCCATCCTGTCCCGGCACCGTGACCGGCCCTTCTCCCTGCCTCCCGTTCCCAGATCCTGCGCGGCAGCTCCGCCAGGCCCAGCATGTCCCTCCTCCTCCTCCTGGCAGAGGTTCAGCGTCTGGTTTGCAAACCGGTTGGCCGGGTCCGAGGGAACTCTGCCCCAGGGAGGGACGCGGGTGAGACAAGGTGGCCCTGGGATGGGTGAAGCGGCTCCAGCCTTGCTGCGGCCCAGCACAGGGGGGCAGCCGATCCTCTCGCCCAGCTGGGCACCCAGCCCGCACCCCACAGCCCCCTGCCAGCACCCTTGGCAGACC